ACTCTTTTGGCATTAAAAGTACTATTTAGTTATAACTATTAAAGTGCTTCTGGCATAGCCAATAATAAATTGTCAAAATTAACACGCAGGAGTATTTATAAACTTATTTATTTATGAATAATATTTAGTACGCACATAGTACGTATGTTTATCGATAGTTGCTTGATTTATGTATTTACTTTTTGCCCATTTTGCCACAATTTCATTCAAGTAAGGAGCAGGTAGTCTGAAATTACTTCAATATACATATGTACATATATAAGTATGCATATGCATGAGTACATACATACGTGTGTAAGTATGCATTTGTGTGAGTACAAGTGGGCTTTTGTATACTCTCTTACAGCCACATAATTGCCAATTAGTGATTAATGCGAGAAATATTTCACTTGTCCTTTTTGTGCTGTTTCACTTTTTGTAATTGTATGTTTGTGAATCTCTCTCTCTCTGTTATTTAATATTTAAAATTAATACTTATTAAACGCAGACATATTTACACGCGTCATGTTCAATTTTCCTGTAGCAATGAAAACTATGATTGAATTCATTTGAGTGCTGTCAAAACCATTTAACTTAAAATTAAATGAATGAGGGTAAATAAATACAGATTGAAGAAATTTGGCTACATAAACGATTCTCAATTCTCAAAGTTCTTAAAATTTCCTTCAAAGAGTTTTTTTTTGTTTTTTTTTTTTAATGTATATATCGACTGCTGAGTGGAAGATTGACCTATCTCAGCAGCCAGCTCGAAAACGCTCTATCTCAAAAAAATTTTCAAGAACGCCCTATTTCAGAATTCGTTTCAAAAACGCTCTATATCAGCACATTTTCAATATCAACATTTTAAGTGAGATAGGGCGTTTTTCCCGCCGCATTCTGAGATAGGGCGTTCTTCAACCAAATTCTGAGATAGGACGTTCTTGAAAATGTGTTTCAGATAGAGCGTTTTCGAGCTGGCTGCCGAGATAGGATAGTTATGGAAATTTATCTTAATTCACCGAGTTCTTTGAACTTATCGAGTAATCGATATTTATTGATTTATTTTACTGAAATTTGTAGATTTATCGAATAGAGGTTTTTGGAATTTTCAAAATATATAAAGTTATCGAAATTTGAAAGCTATATAAGTTTATCGAAAGCTTTAGAAAAATATGGAGCTATCAAAATTAACCGAGTTATCGAAATTAATAGAGGCATCCAAAGTTTATCGAGTTGTCGATTTATATCGATATCGATACATTTTCCAGCTATCGAGATTTATCGATCCCTCTAAACGTCCCTATAGTGATCGAAATTTTTCGAAATTAGTCGAGCTATGGAATTTTGTTGATTATATGATTTTAGCGTTTTGGAAATTCATCAAATTATCGATATGTATCAAATTTTCGAAATTTATCGAAAAACTGAAATTTATATTGCTAAAGACTTTCAAAGATGTTAAAAATTGTAGTAAAGTTTTAGTTACAAAGCAGAAGATTTTCCGGTAAATAATTTTGTACTTTATAAGTTGAACGACGTTCTTAGTTAGAAAACCTATCTTAAAAACCATAGAACTGGTCAAATTTCGGCAATAGCTGGCGTTCCTAGTATTTTATTATTCTTCAGTTACAAGTCATTAATCACACGCCATTTCTCATTATTTGTTAGCCATTAGTCATTATTTATAAGCCAATAGTTGTTAGACATTAGTCAATAGACTAAATATAGTTGACAGTAGTTGGTCATAAGTCATAATTAATTAGTCATTAATCATCATAAGTCGGTAGCTATAGTAATTAGGCATTATTCATACGACATTAGTTGGGAATGGTTAGTCATTATTTACTATTCGTACATCGTAGCTCAGTTGTCATAAGTTATAAGTCACAAGTTATTATTAATTACTTAAACAATTTGTCGTTAGTCATTAGTCATAATTCGCTACACTGAGAAAAAAATGAGTCCTATTCTCTTTGTTTCACGCCAAAAAATTTCCCAAAAAAATTTATATATATTTTTGAATACTTTTTTCTTTCAACACGATTTCGTTCTGCACTTCACAGATGAATTTTCGTAATTAAGAAAAATCGAAAAAAATCAAAATTACTATTCCGTCTAGTTTAATGACATTTAATGAAAGCCAACAAATAGTAGCAAGTCAATGCCTATTAAGAAACACAGTTTTTTGCTCTCCTGTAAAATTGGAGTGCCGTCAGATATTTAATCGGTTTTGTAAAGGCATCGGCGACATCTTTAATACAAATATGGAAACTTCATTTAATCACTCATTGCGTGGTCTAATGACTTTGCCCTTTTCGCTCTCTCTCTTCCTTCCTTCCTCCTAACCAACGTCGCTAAACTTTCGATGCAACTGGTGCCTTTCTGTCGTATAGGAAGTTTCACTTAAAAAAAAACATAAATCCTAATTTGTGCGAAAACTTTGTTAAATTAGTTACACCGTGGGACAAAAACAAAAAAAAAAATCGAAACACATGAGGAAGTTCATATACTCACGCAACTGTGGGCCAAATATAGTAAAACTGTATTTTTAGTTTTTCTCTCTGACGTCAGTATTTTTTTAAGGACTTTCTAGTTTCAAAGATATGATTAATTCCAAAAATTATTTAAAAAAAATGTATTCCAATATAATAAAAACTGTAAGAGTACCAAATGAAAGAGAAAATTCTGTAGAATTTATAAAAAAAAGTGAAATAGAATTTTTTGGCTCACAAGGACGAATAGGCATTGAAAATGTCCTTTTAATTAGTTCTATGTTTTATTTATTTATTTTTTAGCACATAAAGTTAGAAGGACGAAATTTGAGGATGTGGCCGAGTGCATATTAGTTCTCAAATATAATTTTTTCGAAAATAATGCTTGTAAAATTCCAAGGATATTCAATGACAAAATGTTAAAAGAACTTTTTCAATACCTAATCGCCCTAATGCACCAACAATTTAATCGGTCTTAATTCTACAGAATTTTCTCTTTAATTTGATAGTCATACTGTTTTTCTACAGTGCACTGAATTTTTTAATAATTTTTTGTAGGATTTAAAAAAAAAATCTTGATGTCAGAGAGAAAAACTAAAAACGCTGTTTTACTATATTATAGTATAAAAAAGGTATTATAAAACATAAAACATAAAGAAAACATATTTTCAATCTCCAAGTAATATTTTCGAACTTTAATACATACTTAACTTCTGCTTACTTTTTATTACAATTTATTCATATTTGCTATAGAGTTTCAACTTAACTTCATTTAAATGTTAAGTCATACAATCATTATTCATTAAAATCAATAACTGAAGATTTGTGATAAGCTTTCGAGTAATAAATGCCATTCAGTGCAAATACATACTTGCTCAGCATTTCTCTGCTGCCAAAAAGAGCACAAATCCATTGAAATTTATTCATTCTTCTCAACAACCATTAACACCTCCTTATGAAGACAAATCTGAAAATATATTTGTACATTTATAAATACATACAAACAAAAACATAAATACACACATCACTCTCTGGAATATTTCATTTCCAATTTATTAATGCCAATCTTTATTTAAATGAAATGCGTAAATTAGCCCTGCACGCAGTTGAACTGTGGAGTGTTCTCGCAAATGAAGACTATAATTCTTGCATTCAATCGTTTTTTAGATCCTTGATAAAACCAGCAATAAATGAATGAATGAATAAGTGTTGAAATAAATGAATAAGTGAGATACTTTATAAATAACAATATACGAAATGGGCTAGCAGAAAGTGGAAAAAGAACAAAAAACAACAAAAAGGATGGAGTAGAGTGATTTAAAGAAAGAACACTGCAGTCCGCTACTCAGTTCAGTTGAGACTATGAGGAACCAAACGAAAAAAATGCAAAGTCATAAGTAGAAGGAGTAAGTAGGTGCTGACCGAAGTGGAGACTTCAAGTGTGGTCTCATTGAGCGCTAAATTAAATGTATACCGTCGAACACAAGAAGCTGACATTTTCCGCCCACCTACTGTGGTCAGCAGCAACAAAAACAAAAAGAACAAAAACAAAAAAAAACTACTAATAACCAAGAAGGAACAACGTAGAAAGCAAAATCTACAAGCCTGTTCGTGAGCAGACAAAACATTAAAAAAAAAATGTAAATGGAACTGTCACTGTCGCTGTGTAGAGAACAACGAGCGGGCAAACGACATTGGCATTGGTGGGGTTGTTGTGGGAGTCGGCGACGATAGCATAGGGAGTGAGTGCAAATTTGGAGCAGCAGCTACGTAGAACCGTATGTGTGAGAAATTGCATGGAAAAACTCAATCATTACGGCAGCAGCAGGGAGTTAATTTAGTTAGACACCACTAACAGTCAACAGCTAGCAGCCAGCTGCCCGTAACCACTAGCTACTAACTATTAGCTAGACAACTTGTGAACTACTACTGGTTTGTAATTCTGAGGCTGCTGCCCTGCTCATCAGCAAATGCCATCTTGAACGTCATTGTCAGCGTCAGCGTCATCATCATCACTATCCTCGTCGGCAGCAGCAGCAGCAGCAGAAACAGCAACAGCAACAGCATTAGATGCGTAAACAGCACTCGCATTTGCATTTGAACTCTCAACATTAAGCGGCATAGGGCAGTAGGATGTAACCCGCTTTCAGTTGCACTGAAGCGGCAGTGTTACCAATAAGATAGCTTTCGTTAGCGTTGCCTTTGTGTCACTTAAAGTTGCCTGCCGTCTTTTGGAACAGCAACAAATCACTGTCAAAGGACTCATTGTCATTTGTGTGTGTGTATGCAACAGTCGTCGTTTTTACATTGCTTGAACAGCAGTAGTGTATCGTTCGTTAGACAACGCACGGTGGGTCGGTCATTCGGTCATTCCGTCGGTCAGTCGTACGGTTGGTCGGTCGGTCGGTCGGTTTGTCGCTCAGTCTGTCGTAACAGTTTGTGACAGTAAACATCTGTCTGTCATTTGGCCGTTCATCATTCACATAGTTCACAATCCGCAAAGGCATTTGTTTGTGCGGGCGTTGTGGGTGGGTGATGCCAACCCACTGAGAGCGAATTATGAAGCACCAGGGTTCCAGTTATTGTTGTCGCTGGTTCACACTTTTCTTGGTCGCCACGGGCATTGTTCTTGGTAAGTATTATTGTCATTGTTCTCGCTTTGCTCTCTTTACATATTTACATACATACATACAGACGTATTTAAGTACACACCCTCATACATACAAAGTGTAAGCATTATTTGTTTTCGTCCTTAATGGATTTGCTAAATATCCCGCTTAGCTGACGCTTTGTTAGCCATAATAATTAAATGTAATGAAGAATAATTCTGCGAGTAATAAATTTTACCGTTTGTCTTTTGAAGTGTAGTTACTTAAATAGGCGTGAGATGTAACAAATCAAAGGACACTTGAGTAGAATATGCGGAAAATAATGAAATGAGCGAACACTTTGGACTTTTTTAATTAACTCAACTCAGAAGTAGGTAGCAGTTATCTGTAAAATTTATGCAGTTATTTTTCAACCGCGTAATAAATACCTTTCTTGATAAGACACATTGTGGCACCCTAAAATATGGCATGCAGACGAATTGTTATCTCCATTGATCGTTTAAATAACGTAAAAAAAGAAAATAGATTACGAAAATCAGTTTTGTCAATTTTAAAGAAAATTAACATATCATATGAGTTTGTAAATAATATAACCTAAAGTAGAAAAATATTTGAAGATAAATTTCGAAATTTTGGAAATTGGATTTATATACTTACTAGAAATAATACACTCAAATTCTTAAGTTTATTTTCATTTCGTTCGGTAGAGATTAACTTGGAATGAGCCTTTTGTTAAAGTCGAAGCTCTAGTTTTTATATATGTTTTTCAGAATATTGTTAAAAATTAATATTAAATATTGTCAGACACTTCCGACGGACGCTTTAAAGTTCACGTAATCAATAGTTAAGTTTGATCAAACGCCAACGCCATCGAAATAAAAAAAAATCGATTTTTGAAACTCGAAATAAAACTAATCGATGCAGGAAGAAATCTTCAAAAAATAAATCGATCTCCCAAGATCGATTCATACAATTTGCCAGAAACCGCCCTTACTTAATTTTCTTAAAAAAAAAAAACAAAATACGGTCTTCTGACCAACACTGAAATTACAAACATTATTATAGGTATATTTCAAAACATGCATTGCTATAACGGTTTGAATATCCAGAATTATCCAAAAGCTATCAGGTAGCTTACAATCCTTAACTACCTAAAATAAATTAAACACATTTTCTCACTCAATTCGTTGGTCATCTTTTATTTTTTGGAGTTTGTCTACTTTATAAAATTGAAATTTTGAGAACAACTCAAATGCCAAATAAAAGTAAAACAAAAAACAAATAGATGAAAATATTTAAATTTTCATTTATTTTGTTATGTTAGCAAACTTCAAAAATGTTCAGGGTGCTTCTCAACGGATTTACCTTCAAATTTTTTTATCATGGCCCTACTTAGGAAAATAGTAAAATTTTTTTTGAATTTTTGTTTTTTAAATTTAACCGCTATTTTAAAAAAAATTATTTTTTAGCAATACAGATTTTTTTAATCTTTTTTTTTGTTTTCTTATTCAACTATTTGTTATTAGGTCAAAAAATCGCAAATACGATTTTTTATGTCTTCGCTAACTACATACATATTTCACTCCTAATTACCCTTTCTAGAAAAATTTAAGTATGCAGTTTTGTAGCGCATTTTCTTCCATACAAAGTATGCTCGACAAAATTTTCATATGAATAAAATGCCTAGCAATGACAAACAAAATTGCCAAAAATCAACAATATTTTGCAGCCACTTGAAGCTTTTTATTATATTAAAACTTAATGGGCTACGAAATTGCATCCCCGAAATTTTTCTAGAAAATATTAATTTATGCCTTGCCGCTCACTTTGAAATGCTTTCAATATCATTGTACTCCAAATTGCGCTTATTTTTTTTTTTGTTAAATAGACTAGCGTAAATACCCTAAATAACAGCTAGATGCAATACCAAGCCCCCTTCATTTTTCTTACTAGCCTCAAATTAAAATTTGATTAAAATTTTCTAACTTTTCTAATGCAATGTTGTATGCATCAATTGAGAAAAAATCGAGTGTAGATTCTCGAATTTTTTGGGTCGCTTCACGGATCGAATCGGAACTAAAAAAAACTACAATAAATAGAATCGGAAGGGCTGGATTAATCGATCTTCGATTTAAAAACGGCATCTCCAGTGTATACATGGCGTATGAGTAACATAATATCCTTCTCATTTTTCATACTACATACAAAAAACAAACGAATTAATGAATTTCCTACTGTGTATTTTTAATCAAACAATTATTATTGATAGATAGATAACTAGATCTGAGACTTATTTACCGTGAGAGCGCTGTCAACGTATGCATTTTTATAAAATTTTCCTACAACGCCACTATGAAAAAAACACGAATGGGCATTTATTGAGAAATTCTCTATCACTTAGTAAATTTATTTGCTTCTCGAAGCATTGATCCATCCTTTGGAAGGCCCTGTAATCAGCGGTTGTGCTGCTGAGTTGGGCGAACGTTCCAAAAGCTGCTATTCAATAGCTGGTTTTGTATAGAAAACGGTTTCACATGCAAATAGATTTTAACAATTTAGAATTTTTGTGAGAAGAAATTTAAAATATTTGACATTTTTGAAACCAAATATCTTGAAAAAAAAAAATCAGCTACTCTACTAATACTACCGAATGCATTTTTTTACGGAACAGGTGAATTATGCCACTTTCAAAATAAATGGCTCACAAACATACGTATGTAGATAGTTTACTACATATAGTAAAATCTCTCAAACAATTGACTAAAAATGTAAAAATATGTCCAAGTATAATTTTGTTATATTCATGAGAGATACCTATGGGGCTTTCGACAAAGCCAAGGGAAGCACATTGTCCATACTAATTCTAAATAAAGCTCATCGGAATTTTCTATTATATTTTTTCCTTCGGATTTTGCTCAGTTAATGAAATAATTTATTATGCAAGTAATCAGAACGAGAAGCTCTTAATAAACTCTCAAACATTCCTATTTACACAGTACTCATGTCGTAAATATTTAATATAAAATTTTTTTTTGTAAGTCTGCATTCCACGTTATAATTTATGGCTAAATTTATTTGTTTTATGTCCCACATAAAAGGTAATATATTAACAAACATAAGTTTCAAAAACATTACATATTCTCCTAAAACTAAATTTTCTTTTGAGCTAAAACTTGTTTTAGTTTAAAAATGCAATAAATTGAGTCGTTGACTTTCAAAAAATGGAAATTGAATACAATTTATGAGTACACACTTTCAAAGGAAAGCTAACAGAAAAGCAAGTGGAAAAATAAAGTATGTATGTACATTAGACTGCATCACCAAAAAAAAAAAAAATGTGGAAGTTTTTCCGACGGAACCAAAATATTTCGGAACAATATTAAACGCGAGCTGGACCGATTTGAAGATATCACCAAAAATGGATTTTTTATGAATAAAAATAGTTTCTTAAAGAACTTTTTGAAAAAAATTCATCTCAGATAACAAAACAGATTAAGCATAAATTTACATAAAAAATATTTAAAATAAAAATTTAAAATAAAAATTTGAACGGAATTGTAATAATTAGACTTTTGGTGATTTTTTTTAAGTTTTTTTCAAAGATTTATTTACGAAAAACTTGAATAACTAGGCCAAAACTATTCCGTTTTAGATTTATGTGGTCCCGGTAAAAAGATATTTTCCCACTCTTTTAATTTCTGTGCAAAAAGAAACTCATTCACGTCCCTTTTTTTTTTCAAATACCAACACATCTTAATTCAACTTGGAATGACGCTCGTTGATCCCACCTTTCTCTTTCATCCTATGAAAGAATTTATTAGCAAAGAAAAAATACCTTTCTGATACCACAGAAGTCTATGTCGGAATAGTTTAGGCTCAGTTATTCAAGTTTTTCTTAAAAAAAGCTTTGCAAAAAATAAAAAACCAGCATCAAAAATCTCATTATTACGATGCCGTGAAAAATTAAAAAAAAAAATATGTACATTTTTTAAGCTTGAACCGTTTTGTCATTTGAGGGAATTTAAAAAAAAAAAATCTTTAAGAAACTATTTTTATTTATAAAAAGCTCCATTTTGGAGGTATTTTCAAACCGGCCCAGCTCACGTAAATATTAAAATTTTCCGAAACATTTTGGTGGAAGTCTTAAAATATAATAGATTTATGTTTCCAGTGGAAACACAGTACCGTTTTTTTTTGTATGGGGAGTGATGCAGTCTAATGTGAGTATGTACACATTTGTAATATTTATTTATTTTTCTCTTCTTTACCTACTCTAGTATTTTGTCCACGCTCTAGTCTGCCCTTAAATTATTGCTGAAGCTAGCAATAAGTATGTATGTACACTGCCATTCAATATCCGCTACAAATTGAGTCATCTCCAACATCTGTAGGTACAAAGGCATCCGGTCAAAATAAATACAATGCCAATATATTTACTTTTGTATGCATGTGTGTTTACGTCCCACGCCAATGTAAACACTGGCCTATCACAAAAACAAAAATAAATATACATATATAACATGGAATGTCTCAAAATTCCAGCTTGTTAGGACCTTTGATAAGCAAGAAAAGCACAAAACGAAAAAAAAAAACGAAAAAGAAAAACTAGCCGGAAAGTGCTTTCAAACACCTGCGTTGCTGTGTACTTTCATTTGTTTATTTAAAGCTTCAACATATGCGGCCACTTTTTTATTTGACTGCAATTTTTCATTGCCTTGCAGTTGTTTACATACGCACTCATACTCTTTCTCTCTCTTTTCTCTTTTGTGTTTTTTTTTTGCGGCATTTTTTTCCCGGCTCGACAATTTCTAGTATCGCCAGATATACACACAACTATTGCTGACAACTATAAACAAGCGAAAACCAAAATCACAACAACAAAAATGATAAAAAATACTACGATGCGTACATTCAAAACGCTGGAGGCGATGGATTTTATTGACGCCAACAGGTACAATGCCAATAAAAAGCACAACAACGTTAACAGCTATGATTCAAGTATGATGGCTAGCAGCAACAGCAACACCAACAGCAACACCAACAGCGTCAATAGCAATAGTAATGACAACACAACAAGCATTAGGGTTCCAATCAAAGAGGAATGGAGTCGGCGGCTGGAGCATATGGTTTCTACACCTCAAACGATGACAATAATAGTCGAAAAGCCCACAATGGTAAAACACACAACAACAAGAGCAACAGCAACAGCAACAGCAGATAGTATGCGAACTACCACAATTACAACAGCAGCAGCAGCAACAACAAAGGCAATCACAACAAACATTGATAGTGCAATAAAGATGCCGCCGACTGACAGCAGAGCCAATATAAATGTCAGCGACATAAAGAACAGCACAATGATATATAAGCAGCAGCAGCTTCAAAACCAACATGATCAACATCAGCATTGGCAGCATTGGCAGCATTGGCTGAATAAGCCACATCGACGACAACAACAGAAACAAATAGAGCGCGTACAACAGCTATATGGGCCAACGGCAGTAGCAGCAGCAGCGGCAGCGGCAACGGGCAGCAGAGAAGGCGAAAAACCACAACCGTACGTTGCCAATACTTTGTTAAGCAACAAAACATCAACAGCAATGAATATTGAGACGACGACGAGGACGACGCCCAATAACGTCCGCATAAGGGGCGAGTCATTGGAAGTGACAGCGGCGGCACAAACGCAAATAGCAATCAACAGTAATAGGAACAGCAACAGCAACAGCCTTACAACGGAAATAACTGCAACAACAACAACAACAACAACAACAGCAGCATCAATAACAACAATGCCATCAACAATAACAATACCGGCAATAAGCACAACGCCAACAACTACACAAAGCCAACAATTTGAGTCAATGCGCATTTCTTATTACATGAACGATGCCTCTGACGACTTACAGCTGGAGCTGCTGAGGCTAAAGCTAAAACCGTTGCTAAAGCCGGAGCTGGAGCTGAGGCAAGCAACGGAAACGGATGTAAAAGTGGCTGTGGCAAGGGAAGGGGAAATGAGTGTGGAAGTGGAAGTGGGTCGTCAACAACATCAACACAAATTTTCCTCTGCTTATTTAGACAACGACGAGGACTACAGCAACGACGATCAACACAATTATGCGCCACTCGAACGGTTGCCGGCGCAGCGCAGCCGTTGGACGCGACAGGTGGAAGAGGAACCGGTAGATAAATGCCGTCAATTTGTTGAGGGCGAAGCGGAGAAAAATGAATTCTACAGTCCCGATTATCCAAACGATTACCCAAAGAACATCAACTGCACACGCATTATTACAGGTGAGTGTTCGTTGTCGTACGTCGTACATACGTCGTTGTAGTCGTCAAAAGTTGAATGTTGAAAATTACGTTTTTATGTATGTATGCATAGATTACTCATACGCCCCGGGCGTGTGTGTACATACATGCATATGTTTGTATTTACATTAGACCGCCTCTGATGACACACAAAATAAAAAAAAAATTTAAAAATATTCGCAAAAACTATACGACCCCGACAAAAATATTTGGCTTAATTTAGCGCTTTAAAAGAAACTGGACATACGTACATATTTGGCGATATAAAATAATATTACATAAATTTTGGTAATTTATAAAGTGTTAGGTTAAAAACTTGGCATGAATTTTTGGTAAAAAAATTACATAGTTACATATAGCTATGGTAGTTTATAAAGCGGATATACATTTTTGGAACTTTTGAAACAGGCATGATTTTGATGCATTTTTAGAGTCAACAGAAAAATTTGAAAATTTGGTTATGATTTTAGGCATCAAAAATTATTAGACATGACTTTTTGGTTATTTAAAAGCTGCCCATATTTTATTTAAAATTAAAAAATTTTTCTCGATTTCAATGCTAGACATGAATTTTTGCCAATTTCGAAAGTGGACATTTTTTTTGTAAAATAAAACCTGGGCAAAAGCTTTTTATAATTAAAAAATTGGAAATAATTTCTTTAACATTTCAAAAACGTGTCATACATTTTTTGGTAATATAAAAGGTTGACATAAATTTGTGGCTATTTAAAAACTTGACATAGATTTTTGCTAATTTTAAATTTAGACATTTAAACATAATTTTATGACAGTTCGCGGCATGCATTTTTCTCCAATTTTACAACTGGACATAATTTTTGGTAGCCTTAAAGCTAGACATAACATAATTTTTTTTGTAATTTAAGTTACCAAGTATTGCGTGAAAATTTGGCATAACTTTTGATAATTTCATAACTGGACATAGTTTAAAAATTTATTACAAATTTATTTTAAAAAGTGGACATACATTTTTGCTAACTTAAAAACTGTTAATGATTTTTTAATGATTTAAAAACTGCGCACAAAATTTTAAAACTGGTTATAAGCTTTTGGCAATTTAAAATTGGCATAATTTTTTGGCAGTTACAAATACTAGACATCAATTTTCGGTAACATATAAATTGGGTATTGTTTTTTTTTTGGTTATTTTAAAAATAGGTCATAATTTGTTGGAAATTTAAAAATTGAACGAAAACTTTTTGAAATTTTCAAGCTGGATATAAATTTTTGGCCATTTAAAACCTCCACATGCCTTGTCGACAATATAAAATTTTTGGAATTTTAGAAACAAGAGATGAAATTTTCGTAATTAAGAAAGTGGATATTATCTAAAAATTTTAAGTTAAAAACTGAACGTAATATTTTGGTAATTAAATAAAAACTGGACATCAATATTTGGCTATTTGAAAAGTTGGTACATTCTTTTCGAAATTTTAGAAAGTTTTAAACACTGAGAAAGTGGGTATTTTTTTCAATATTTTGAAATCTCGCCATTAACTTGTGGCCATCTAAAAATTTAACACATTTTTGGACATACTTTTTCATATCGAATGGATATAAATATGCGACTTTGAAATATTGGTAAAGATTCATGGGCGGTAAACGTAAACAACGACCATCACATTGTATTATTCAGTTCTCCATGTCCATATTTTATGACCATTTTTCAGAGACATACCATTTTTTTTTTAATTTTTTATTGATAATTTAATGTGGCTAGATTTTGAATGGTCAAAAATTATTAGCAGTTTTTTAACAGCAATAAAATTAGATATATATAAAAAAATTTAAATAGTTAATGTGCGACATCCTAATGTACATAATGCCATACGCATATGTATAGGTAGGTAGGTAGATAGATAGCTAACAAAACACACAAAACACCTTGAAGCGCAACAAGCGTGGAAGCAATAAGGTAAAAGCACACTGAATGACACGTTTAAAAATGTATGTGAAAACTCAATTTTTTATTCATACCAGCACCACCAGCGCAACCATCACCGCCACCATTAGTCACCCCCATACCTACAATACATACATACTTTCACTTGGTAGGCGTGTGTGCGCGCCTGCCCCTGGTATTTACTGCCTGCCACATTTTGTATAACCTTATCTTATTATTTATTCATTTTTTTTTCTCTCTTTTCTCTATTTTTTTCCGCATCCTTCCTTGCTTGGCCTCCTGCAGCGCCGAAAGGACAAATAATCCGTTTAGATTTTCGTAATTCATTCCACATCGAAGCGAAAGAGGAATGCAAATTTGATTTTCTCGAGGTAAGAGCACTCAATTATATGGCTCATTTGCGTGAATAAAGTGTTAAGCTGTAGTGTAAATACTTTTTTTAGCTTTATCTACTATAGAAAATGCTTTCTATACTTATAAATACATATGTATGTATATCTAACTATATTATATGTAGATACGTGATGGCCAGTATGGTTTCTCGACATTGATTGGTAAATATTGTGGTACGGATTTTCCACCGGAAATCACATCGAAAGAGCGTTACCTCTGGTTGCATTTCCATTCGGATGAGAGTATTGAGTATTCTGGTTTTACAGCTGTTTACGAATTTATCGATCGCAGTAAAGAAGGTAAGTTTGCACATACATACATAACTACTCGTATACGTAGACATTTATTAGGATTTAAATTGAAAGACAAATATTTATGGTTTAAAGTGATAGTGTTGCTCAATATATATAATTTTAATGTACATACATATGTAAGTGTGTAACTTTATTTTTTTGGCAAGGTAGAGCATTACTTTTTTTATTAGAGGATTACTGTTTAACTCCTAGCTGATTTTAAAAGAATCCGCTCACATAAATTTCGTGGTCAAATTATGTTAATTAACGCAGATATGCTTCTATTTTTGGCTTTGATGCCGATTAGAGGATGCCATTCCAAGACCATATTTGTAATACTGCCATCTCCTCGCGCAAAGTATGTCCTATCCACCTCCATTTCTGTTTTCAAATGCAGATGTCGAAGGCCCCCATGATAGCCTGTCTGACACCAAACTCCGTCGTATGTAGCTTTACGAACAGCGAAGCACTCCTCTATGGCGCAGGGCTGTCCAAAAGCACTTTTTATGTACGCTACTGAAAGCCTTTTCGAAATGGGCAAAAACAGCTATGAGTGTAATAAAATTGGGGCCACCTAGCTGTTAAGCAACAGCTAATAGACAAAGGAAATCTAATAAAACATCCAACCTATACTGGCAGCTCGAAAATGGGTCTATCGTCATCGCCCAGCAGATTGCATTGAGAAAGGTTTACAAACTTCCAAATTGCTCAAGTATTTAAAATTCGAGCATGGTATAAAAATTGCTGCAAATTTAGATAGTCTTGTTTCCAACAGGGAATGAGCGTACAATCCCTTCGGCAGTACATACCGGTCCCACAAGTTCAGGAAAAGTAAGGAACAGCTAGCTACATCCGGTTAACTAATCTTTATACCTGCAGACTATCGCATTTACTTTGGCCATCGGTTGATTAACGAATAACAAGGCCCTATAAAGTAACGTACAACTTCTTCAAAGACTTGGCAGTTTTGACGCAATTTAATTTAATCGCCTAATTAAACTCGGAGCGGTTTGTTTTAGCACAAACATTTGTAGAAATACTTAGGCCTGGTAAAATCTTTTTTTTCTCTTGGCATCACAATTAATGAATTTCTATGCACAAGGGATTTTTACAATTGATGCCAGTTTGTGCTATAAATTATGAAAACCCCGACCCGTTGAAGTTCAGTACTTTAATTAGGTAATGCATTTCCCTTTTCTGGCTGCAGTCTGGGCACTTAACTAATGATCATTAAATTCTCAATTCTGGCATCTGTCTTTTTTAACTCACCGCAGCCTTTCGAAAGACAAAAGTTTTTCTATACCGGCAACTATATTTCGAATGACAAATTAAAAGATCTGCTAGCGAGAAGGATAACGTTATTCTATTTATCGTTTAGCAATAAGTTTTCCAAAAACCAAACGAAATTATAAAATTTTTTATTTTTTTAAACAAGAAGAACTAAAATTTTAAGAAAATTAAAGTAAGAAAAGACAACCAATTAATCAAAAAATATCCAAACGTTAAACAAAATGAAAAATATATTTATTTTTTAAGCAACAAAACTTAAAACTTAAAAGAAAAAATTTAATTGGAAAAGAAAAAAAATATTGAACTAGGATCTCTCGAATGGCACGAAAGTTCTCTGCTCACTGGGCCATTGCGACATTTACAGAAACGTTATCGAAATTTATTGAAAACAACCAAAAAATTTCAAAATCATTCGTTAAAAAGATTAAGTAAAGAATTTTTTTTTCTTATGTAAGGCTAGGAATTAATGTTACTCATACGCCATGTATGAAATATGAAATCATACTATATATTACCATGACCGTTAACAACTTTATTTATCAATCAATTTTCTTTTTGGATAGCTTGATATTTTTGTAAAAGAATAAGCTTTAATACCAATAAGAGGAATTTACAAAATGTTCCCCTATTAAAGTTCGCATTTTTTATTCACAATGCAAACTTAAAATGAAAACATCTTGCGTTCTTGTGTCATTTTAGCAAACCCACAGTGCAGTATGTCTGAAATAAGCACTTTCTGCGGCCAAAAATCGATCAATGCAGATAGGCATTTAAAATCTTGCAAACATGCTTCTGAGAATCTTAAAAGACTTTGAGTTAAAAATTAGCGAAATCGGCCCATAAGCACACTCCCGCCCCGCCCATATGAATGGTGTCCCAGACCACCCGCCTACCCGTTCTAAAATGGAGGAACAAATTTTTATTGGAAATCTGAAAATTATGAACTACCAAGTCGGGGATGCTTTATATTTTGGTCGTATTACCGACTTCCGGTTTCGGCCGGAAGCGTGTTAAACAGACTGTAAGTCCATTATTTTAATCGGAAGTCCATTCCAGAGAAACGTTTCTGACAAAAGTTACGTACTTTTGTCCGCAGAATCATAATCTGTAATAAAAACATGTACTATGTACCATTTAAAAAAATTTCTTCCCGTCCATCCACACGTTGAATATTTGTTCATTTTTACTTCGATGACGTCTCAAAATGGTAATTTTATCAAAGAGCAGCAAGACGCTGCAGACAATTGACACATCAAATAAAAGTAGATATAATGTCCTTTTATCAGATATATATATATATCATATCGGACGAGATCGAACAGAAAAAGTCCCACTCCATGAAACAAGCACAATATGTTTAAATTTATATAATCATAACATGCACTTTGTAACAGTGAATTTTTCAAAAACACAAATGTTATTTAAAGTCACAATCGTTAAAGTCTATTGATTATATTCCATTGTTAAAATAATCACACTTCAAACTTTTTATATACATAAAAAAAAACCGCGCTGCACTGCAGTTCAATAAAATTCAAGCACAAACTAAAACCAAAACCACAAGCTTTACGTTGCTTATAGGGGACCAGGGTTACCTTGCGGTCATAAATTTATAATTTCCTTTCTAATTAGATTGTCTAAAATAAAAGTCCGCCCGTTAAAAATTTTGAAAGCAAAAACTGAAAATTGGACTTTTGTTTGCACAAAGTGCCAGAGAATTTCTGTTTTTAAACATAATTATTTGACAAATATTAGGTATGCAATTTTGTAGCCAGCCGACTAAATTTTAGTATTGTAAGTTTCAAGTGACTACAAAATACCGTTGGTTTTTTACAATTTTTTTCCGAATGGTATTCTGCCTTTCCATCATAAAAAGTTATAGTCAAAATATGAATTTCTTATGGAGTAAGTGCACAAAACTGTTTTCGTAAATTGCACTTTTTATATAAAAAAAAAAAGGTACAAGTGCGGCGGCAAAAAAAAGTAAAAAATAACGCTAAATTATAGCTCTTAAAACTAAAATTAAAAAAAAAAAAAAACAAAAAAAAAAATTTTTAAAAAAAAGTTTGAAATCTAGGTGAAAATTTGTGCGCTACACTTTTATAAGAAATGCCCTAGACTTTTATAAGAAATGTTAATCATTAAATAAACAAAAGAAATATGTACAGCCAAAACTGGTCAAAATAAACTATTATGTCTGCCACCTGTATATGTATGTATGTTTAAATAAAATTCAATGAATATTTTTGGAAAACTACAAAAATAAAATACATGCATAATTCTTTTTACACCGAAATTTCCCTGCCGCTTGTCTCGTGATTTCTGCATAACTAATTCGGTTAGTTTTTTCAGTGGTGAATTCTTTGACCTATGGAAATGGACAATGTGCCTAAAAATATGCAGCATTTACCGAAGCTTTACAAACACAATAGGTAGAAGTCGTAAGTAAACGTTTTTTTTTCGATTTTTTCGGATAAAAGATGTAGCCTTTGGCTGAGCTGCTTACATGCATATGTAAATACTATGTACGTACATATATTTATATAAGTGGTTACATGAATTTATTCATAAGCTTAAGTACAAAGATAGCATGGAGAGA